AGATCATAAAAAAGGTATGGATCTGACGTGGCCGTTCAGGAGACTCCTAATCATTGAGCTGATCGCATCAAGTAAACGCTGGACAAATCAGCGTGAATCTCTCCTGCTTGTTATGAGGAAAGTACGTGAAATCCTCTGAGGATGTCGTACGGATTCTTTCCCGTGCTCCTTACGAGGCCAAGCATACCTCCTTAGAGATGTTCTTGAATATGGAACGCTCTCACGAAGGACCAGAGCTCAATTACTGCGGCAACAATCTCCGTAGAGGTGTATCCAATCCTGTGGATGGGAATGACAAAGAGCTTTCCTCCCCCACTACTGACTATCAGGTACGTATTGTGCCCAGATGGAATATTGATGAAATTGCCAAGGCGCCACGAAATTTCACCTTATATTCGGAAGGCTGCTGAACATCAGAAAGTCACCATGATAGATCTTGTGCACAGAATGAATCGTAAACGGTGCATATCGAGTGGTGATGGTTCACACCACTATAAGTCTTGTAAGAGTTTCTCCCGTGATTTTTCTGCCTATACAAAGGGTGGTTGTGCTGCATCAGTAAGCGACAAGGGGTACGATCTCCCTGTTGGAACCGCAACAGTGGGTATCAGAGGTGGCGAAAAGAATCCCATCAAATGTGGCTTTGACTCAATGGCGTCCCTGACCATAGTAACTATGGCATAGTTACTGGTCCACACTCGGAATAGATAACATCGAGGGCATCGCTTACTCTCTGCGAGGTTGATAGTGGGCGTAACACAGCCGAAGGTTGTATTAGGGCCTGACTATCAACCAGTCAAAATCTACCGAGATCCGGCTTATCGGGGAATGACTCTTCCCCGATCCTTGTGGGACAATACTTGTGCCACACGTTGATATCGCACGCCCGATGAAACGCTCGGGCCAGCCTCAGTCATAACAACAAGTTCGAGACGCCATTTTGCTGGCTCGGCCTCTCGAGACTCGTTTTCTTTTTTTTCCAATCCCGAACCCGCCCGGGACATTTCTCCTCTCCTGCTTATCCTTCACTCAACAATGCTCTGGCCGACCGTCAGCCAGCGATCATCAAGTCAAATATCCACATCCTGTCATTGTGCTCCCAGCCGCCATCACCATTGTGTGGAAGCTGTGGCCACCACGATCTACAGCCTACAGGGCTGCATCGGGCCAGCGGCCTCGGTTGGAAGCATGTAAGAAGCTCCGAATCGTCACTGATCCAGCCACGGCTGAGATCCCTTCTTCGTGAGCGTCACGACCAGTGATGAAGCTGCTCATCGATCCAGCCTCGATGATGCATCACCACCGGCCGTTTACTGACAGGATATGACTGGCTCCCACAGCTGTGGTCTGCCGAACGGAATGAAGACTCTCGCACAGAGTCTCTGTCATGCTCGCCGAGCGAAGCTGGCTAGCATCAAACCACAGCACAGTGGGTTAACTCATCGAACAGACGATGTGCTCGAGTGGTTAAGGAGGTCAGCTCCAAACCCAGTCAGCCGCAGCTTCCGCGAGCTCAAAACCCATTTAGGGTTGCGGTCTGTCCGCCTCTCTCTCTCACCCTTTGTCTGGACAGCCCGTGATCTCGTAATGGATTTTGAGCCACGTAAGATGAACGGACTTGCCTCGTCGACCTGCCTTGAGAAGACAACCAGTCTTTTTCCCTACTAGGTATAGACCAGTCCTTTGACTGCAGTATCAGCATGTTCGACAAGTTATCCGCTGACCAACTGAAAATATCTGACTCAGAGCTCAAAAAGCTCACAGACCCGGGATGGTGTTAGGGAGAAAAGTGACCCCAACCCACAAGTCCCTGGTGGAAAAGTCATTGTGCTCTCTGACAAAATAGTGTCATTTCCTCTCCTTTGAATCACTTTCAAATCGACCAATACAAGGTTATGTTTGGATGCAAAAGAGCTAAATTAGAAAATACCGCGATCCTCATATTGTGGTTAGGCTGCGGGGGAATGCCTGGATACGGTTAGAGGAAATTACTCCCCAGGAGATGCCCTACACTTTGTTGATCTACCGACACAGCCTGTGAATATCACATCCTGGAATAAAAACTTCGTTAAAGGTCTGTAAAATTTTCATTGCGGGATTTCAGCTTCGAGGTGATGTTGACATTATTTGTATGCTACAAATATCCGATGCAAATTGTATCCGATACAGGTACCTAAGATCTTCACTTGTGGATTGCCAAGAGCTGAGAAGTCCTCTATCTTTCGCATCGGCTTTGGGTGAACGTCCTCATACGGAGCGGCGTATCTTTTCAGGACAATCGTGAGAAGGCAATTCCCGGAGTCAGACGTAAGTATGGTGGAGAGATTCGACTCGAGTTTCGCGCCGTCATTTCGACCTTATATGGTCGTTTTTCACGGACCTGTTTCATAGAACACCTTTCCTGAGAAATTCTACTGGTCAGGTGGCACTTCAAAGATGGAGCTGTTTAACAAAACTCATTACTGTAGGTTGGGATAAGGAGAAAGAGCATAAGGGAATCGGAATAAGGGCCTTATCATGAGGTGAGCTACTGTTGACTACACACTGTTGAGTCCGGTTCAATTTTTGGTAGTCATTTTAATCTACTTGTTTCCGCTGTTAGAAAGTTACTGTTATTACATCAGGACGTCTTCCAGCTTAGCATCCTGAGTGAAACCCGAGATATACGAGTCCAAAATCTAAAAGTCGTGCTCATATTAGCCCTGCATCTGAGTTAGATGCCCAGCTCCTGATACAAGCTGACCAAAACTCCCAGCTAACTTGTAATTTAACAGGGGTTATATTCTCGCAAGATGTGTGTAAATTTGCCAACCATCTCGAGACGCAAGCTGCGAGCTCTCGTTCTCACTTGAGACCTTGTAAAACGGCGTATGCGTGGTACTCCTACGCAAACATGGCTTGATATTCCCTCTTACGATAATTCAGACATCCTTGCTACGCTGATTCCGTTGAGTGTAGTTGAACTTTTATCATACAAGTTTTTTGCACTTCCTTTTACTAAAACGGTTTTACCCTGGATGCCATAATGGCGTCGCCATTCGGCACCGGTGATTCCTCAGCTGTTCTAGCTCCGAAACTTGGCTGTATGTATATCGACTCCGTTCGGCCAGTATCAGCGAATTTTTATAGCTGATCGTGCGATCCTACGAAGTGGGGAGATACCACCTGCCAGATGGCGCCCGCTGATGGCTTAAGCCGCTCAAGATGAGCGTAGCTTATGTGTGCACGCGTCAAAGGTTTGGCCTGTGAACGAGACTTTCGGTGTTCTTCGCAAATTGTGGCTTGTTTTGCAAATTTCAAAGCAGTAAAGTCTCTTCTGGCACTCTTGCCAATCCTCAATTTCCACTACTCTACGAGCATCGACTAACTTGAGTATCAATCGACCCCAAAAGGGCATTTTTTATGTAACTTGGCGTGCACTCCGAAGCACAACGAGTAGCTCATTCTCTACTCAAATCCGGTGATAATGAGCCTCCATGCGGTTTAGAAGCTACCGGGGGTAAGCAGTTCCGTGAAATACATAAGAATATGGAAGAGCACAAAGAAATTCCGGACTGTAGTTGAAGAGTGATTCCGTGTGCGTCTGCGTGCAGATGTAAGCATACACAGACAACATAGATTAAGGATCATCTTAACCCTTTGTGATAAAGGCTTCATGTTGGGTTTAACATGGTGGTTTAGCATCGATCCCCGCTCCACAAGCTCTTGCTGAAGTGTTTGGTTTACTTAACGAAGGCTATTTGTTAGCTGAAATGCCGGGGAAATTTATTAATAAAGTTACTAAAAATATGGATCTCCCATCCCAAGTGCCATTACCCTACGAGCACAAATTTCAGGCCTTAAAGGCAAGGTGAAGTCTGATCGTCAAAATAGATAATCTTAACCCGTTATCTTGGCTTGGACATTCCGAAAAGAGAAGGATTGACTATGGAACATGTCTCTTAAATGGCGAGCAACCTGTTCTGTCGTCGACACCTCGCGAGACACAACTTTTGTTACAGAAGTCGTCTATGGAGCAACAAACAGAAGTCGCAGGACACTATAACAACGTGGAAGGGTGTTCCTTTAGGATCTCAAGCTAAGATCAAGCGGTGCATACTTTTCATAGCAAGTACAGGTTGGATCCAAAAAACATGAAGTAAGGACACTCGGAAAGTTAACATGAAGGGAAAAACAACGCAGGACATGCCCAACGAGATAAAAGGCGTTGTTTAAGCAACACCGCAAAAGTAAACGTGTGGAAAAAAAAACACAAGTACAAATCCAACCACGTTGAACGTGCAAAGTGTTGAGAAACACACAAACACTTTGTCCACAAGACTGTTAACAAAAACAACGTTGTTGGAATTGGCAGACGCAAAAAAACAACCGTAGACGTACACCTCGCGCATTATCACACGTTTCAGCGGTACATGTGTTACGTCACGTACGTGGTACGGGTACACCAATGCCTATGCGAGTATGGCTCGAGATTCTCCATTACGACGATCTAGGCATCTTTGCTACACTGATAACAATATGACATATTGTTAATGGCAGGCAGGGTTTCCCTGCCAATATGGCAATATGTACAATATGCCATATTGAATATGCTAAACCTATCCAAACCTGTCCTGATACACTCGATTGTAAGAACTTGTGTCACTGTCCCATTTATGGTACAGCTGTCCGTAAGCTAAGCTGTGCTAGATATTCATATATTCTGTGATACTAAACGTAAACGAGTTATTCATCCTCGAGTCGAGTGTATCGTATTAACGGTTACATGATGACTTGTGCTATCTATGTAGGTCACTCCTCGACAGTTACGTGCCAACACGGATGATCCGTCACTCATCCGTCCCATCTGCGTGACTCAAAGAGGATAGTTTACGCGTACACTTCGATACGCCGAAGCAAAACGAATTGCTCATCTTAGTGGCTTACAATAAAACTCCTCGTATCATCATTTTGGCTCTTATTGTGCGACCTTTTCTACGTTGAAGCAGAAGTGGGCGAAAATGGCCATTTCCGAGGGCTCGGTCCTGTGAACGGCGATCCTAACGACAGACTCTATTATAGGCAGAAGGATTACCTTGAGGCCATCTCTATACCGGAGGCTTGGAGTATCCTGGACTCTACTCCCAAGAGAACACCTGTGACCATCGCAGTTATAGACGACGGAATCGAGGCCGCTCACCCTGACTTGAAGGGTACCGTCATCAAGGGCTACAACGTCGTTGATAAGAATGATGATACCAGTCCTCGAGGACGGCATGGCACTTGCATGGCTGGCATCGTTGGTGCTATCAGAAATAACAAGATCGGCATGGCGGGTATCCTGGACAGTGTGCGTATACTGCCCATATTCGACGGTGAAGTTCTGAGCTACTCTGCAATCGAGGATGCTTTCACCTATCTGATCAATAAGAGGAGAGATGATGTGAAAGTTATTCTCATGACGGAGGTATCCGGATCAAGTAGGTCTCAAGCTGTTACCGACAAGATTTTGGAAGCGGCTTCAGCTGGCATGCTCGTTGTCGTCTCGGCAGGGAATGGCCACGTGGATCTGGACAAGACCCCATACTTTCCTTGTTCCTTCGGCCGTTCGCCCGCTGATGGAGTGCTATGTGTGGCTGGAACGTATGCAGCTTACGGACGAAAGCAATTTTGGTTCAGCTGTGGACATCGCCGCTCCAGGTTACGATATAGTCCAAACTAGCCTTGAAGGGGAGTACGGCTGGGGTTCGGGCACTTCGGCTGCCGCCGCCATCGTAGCAGGTATAGCTGGGATGCTCTACTCCCTTGAACCATCTGTGGAGACTAGGCTGACCCCTGCTTACATCAAAAAAATCATCAAGGATACGGCCACCAAAGGTGTCAAGGACAGTAAAGGAAAAAAGACTCTCTCATTCGGCCGCGTGAATGCTGCAGCGGCTGTCAAGAAGATACTTGGAAGAAAGAAGGTATAATTTTTCACTCTAATGATGAGTCATTGATAACTTGTTTGGTGAACTCTCGTCTATATCGATGGTCTCTCCCTGGCTGGATGGATTATCAAAATCATTCGATTCATTTATTGTAGATGTGAAGGTCTGATGTCACATGCGATTGTAACGCTGGGGATTTGATTAAGATAATTCTTTACGCCCAACTGTTGAGTTTGGAATTTGCGTCGTGAATTTGCGCTGGGGTCGGTCGTACTTAAAACGGCAAGTATTGGCTCGGTGTTCCATTATGAATCGTTCTGGGAGACGCTGGTTCATCATCGTCGATCGACGTCCGAGTCCCCAGTAACAGACAACGTAAGTTACAAGTTTTTGTCCTGTTATTATAAGTTATAAGTTATAACCAGTTCGGTGTTATTTCGATCGACAAGACGCTAACAATTCCCTCATTCAACAATTCCCGCATTCCATCGTCGTATTCATGGATTGTATAAACAATCACTCACAACATTATAAAACATATAGAATGTCCAAACAATTAATGATTAAGGGTGCCCGGATAGGGACTTCGACAAAATGGCATCTGACGGAGTCCCAGTAGGCATCAGCAAAGATATTCCTTTCTGTTTGCTCTATCCACGTTATGAGCCACGCAAGTACGACCCTTATCCCACCTTGGAGGAGCATCGCAACTATCATAGTTGCGAATAATAATCTATAATGGATTGATGGATCTTCCCGAAGTCTTCGACCCGGTAGAGGCGCTCATAGAGGATGAGATCCCGCGAGGGTTTATACGGGAGCTAAGCCCTGGGGAGGCCACCGAAGACGGGAGAGACTGCGTCCGACGAGCGGCCATTCCGAAAGGAGAGACCTCCGCAGATGGCGTGAGGATAATCGAGGACTATCGACGCAACAACGTCAAGAGAAAGGCCAACATACCCAATAGCACTCATTGGCCAAACATCAGGAGTTTACGAAGGAAACTGGGAGCAGACAAGTGGCCTTCTGAAGAATTCAAAGACCGGAAGGTTGATCTGCGAGGCGCGTATAGAGCGGTTGGAGTGCATCCAGTCGAGCGGAAACATCTAAGCTTCGTACAGACAAAACTGGGAGCACCCGATTCTCCGAGGATATTTCTATTACTGGATTCTTCTACTGGAATTTTACCCGTGATATGAAGAACACTAGTGAAAAATATATTTCATGACTACTACATATCGCGAATATTGCGTTTTTCACGGAGAATGACGGCACTTCACGAAGAACGAGCGAAACTCCACTGCTTTCAGCATTTACTATAATCAGTAGTCCTAACCTGTTTTCAGACCTCGTTCTCGAACTGCATTCATCGGAAAGAGTTGATATATATCGCAACTTGATATTTTCAAGTCCGGTTCCCAGTTTCACAACTGTTAATGATTTACCTATTGGGATAACACTTCACTGGATATAATAGCAGGGAATGTCGTAAACCGCAGCTTGATGATACTTAATCGATGTGAAAAATATTCACCGTAAGCTCAGCTAAGGGATTCCTTCCCCCGGGAGAGACACATTGTGTGCTACGGGAGATTGGAACAGCGATCGATGATGATGCACCAGCATCTCCCAGAACGATTCATAATTGGAACACCGATCCAATACTTGTCTACTGAAGTAAGACCGACCCAGGCACAAATTCACGATGCGAATTCGAAACTCAACAGTTGGGCGTAAAGAATCGTCTTTATCAAATCCTCAGAGTCATGATGATCAGGTCTGATGATCAGACCTTCACATTTACAATGGATGAATCGAATAAATTGATAATCTAGCCAGCAAGGGGGAGCATCGAGCTAGACGAGAGTTCACTGAACAAGTTATTAATGACTCGGTGTCATTGACTCCATCATCATGAGACGGAGTCAGGGCGAAAAATTAAACCTTCTTCCTTCCAAGTATCTTATTGACAGCCGCCGCAGCATTCACGCGGCCGAAGGTAAGGGTCTCTACCCCTTTACTGTCCTTGACACCTTGGGTGGCCGTATCCTTGATGATACTTTTGATGTAAGCAGGGGTCAGCTTAGTCTTCAGAGAAGGTTCAAGGCTGTAGAGCATCCCAGCTATACCTGCTACAATAGCGGCGGCAGCCGAAGTGCCCCGAACTTGGACGTACTCCTCTCCAAGAGTGGTTGAAACTATTTCGTTACCTGGAGCGGCGATGTCAACAGCTGAACCAAAATTGCTTGTGCTCACAAGCTCCATTTCGGCACCGCGCGTTGCAGCCACACATAACACTCCATCAGTGGGTGAGCGGTCAAAGGAACAAGGGAAGTATGGGTTTATGTCCAGATCCGCCTGGTCATTCCCTGCCGCGACGACAACGAGCATGCCAGCTGCAGCCGCTTCCAAAATCTTGTCGATTACGGCTTGGGAACTTGGTTTGGAAAACTCCGTCATGAGAATAACGTTCACATCATCTCTCCTCTTATTGATCAGGTAGGTGAAAGCATCCATGAGTGCGGGAAAAGTCGGAACTTCACCGTCGAATATGGGCAGTATGCGCACACTGTCCAGAATACCCGCCAAACCAATCTTGTTATTTCTGATGGCACCAACAATGCCAGTCATAATGGTTCCATGCGGTCCTCGAGGACGGGTATCATAATTCTTATCAACGACGTTATAGCCCTTGATGACGGTATCCTCCAAGTCAGGGTGATTAGCGTCGATTCCCTCGTCAATAACTGCGATGGTCACAGGTCTTCTCTTGGCAATGGGATCCAGGATACTCCAAGCCTCTGGTATAGATATGGCCTCAAGATAAGCCTTCTGCATGTGATAGTATTTGTCGTTAGGATCGCCGTTCACAGGACCGAGCCCACGGAAATAGCCATTTTCGCCCACTTCCGCTTCAACGTAGAAAAGGTTGCCCGAGAAGAACCAGAATGATGTTACGAGGAGCTTCATTGTAAGCCGCTGGGATGAGCAATTCGTTGTGTCGAAGTGTACGCGTGAACTACCTCCCTTGGCTCACGCAGATTTGCTCGCGCACGTGGAAAATTTTTCGTGCGCGGCACGACATGTTTTCTACGACAGTTGGCCTTCCTCGTAACCGTTAGGAATGTAGCCCCACTTCTGGACCAAACCACGTCTGGAGCAAATACTTTCTTGAAGGTAAAACTACACTTTTTCGGACTGAATTTTTCTCACGACGATGTGACGGTTTCACCAATTGTGTCGATCGATGGGTTAAATTTTCACATTCTCGCATGCGTGCACGGGCCGACTTCGCCTGACTTGATCCGTTGTTCATCACGGTTCAATCGAATAGATACATAGTTGATATCACGCTTCTGCTATTTGGATTCGTAAAATTCGACTTCCTTACTTCAGAAGTAATACTTCTATACAGACTGGTCAAAGAAAATTGTCCAGCGCCGGTTTAAATGGGTTATCGGTCGCATATAAGAATGGAACTGGTAGCGTTCGATCATAAATCTGTAGCTCTTTCCAGCGGTATGCGACTCATCCCGACACGAGCTCTGACCTCTGACAAATCTGGATCTAAGCTTATCGGCGGCCCAACGTAAAATTTACGTCGTAAATTATTGAGCTTCAATCCTGTATTTCTCCTCAACCCAGCCGAATCTGACATCACCCAATGCACCGCTGTGATCAGAATGGCATGCACTTTCGGTGCATGAACCTCTCGGATTAGTGAAGTTTCAAAAATTGACCGTTTTGGATGCTTCATTCGCATAGAATGCCGAATTCACACTAAACACGACACCTGGCTTTCCTGAAAACTACTAAGCCTAGTACTCACTTACTTACTAAGCCTAGTACTAGCGCTCAGCCGTCTTGAACGAGGTCGCGGTAGCATCCGCGATTTCGCTCACGGAGTATCCTTCAGCATCTAAAGTCTTGATGCTGACCCTTCGATTTTGCTCTCTTTTGGCGGAGGTCCAGCCGTCCTCAATTGAGCTCAGAAGCCTCCACGCCTTATGTGATGGTTACGGAGTAATCAAGGTTAGTTACAAGACCAGGGTCACCGGTGCGGAAACAACCACACAAAAAATCGAGAGTGCGGTAACTTGTGTCGTCGGCGAGCGAAGTAGACCGTAACAGTACTGCATATTTACGATTGCGAGAAACATCTAGGAGACTTTCGTAGCCTGTACTCCAGGCCAGTTGTGAGTAGCTCGTGGTATATGTATACCTTCCCTCCGCAGTTGCGGCGCGGGCTCGTTTATCTTCTCCCCGCCCCCCTCTCCCGGGTTGAATCACTCGGCTGAATTCCGTGTTCGTCTGCGTGCAGATGTAAGCATACACAAACAACATAGATTAAGGATCATCTTAACCCTTCGTGATAAAGGCTTCATGTTGGGTTTAACATGGTGGTTTAGCATCGATCCCCGCTCTACAAGCTCTTGCTGAAGTGTTGGGTTTACTTAACGAAGGCTATTTGTTAGCTGAAATGCCGGGGAAATTTATTAATAAAGTTACTAAAAATATGGATCTCCCATCCCAAGTGCCATTACCCTACGAGCACAAATTTCAGGCCTTAAAGGCAAGGTGAAGTCTGATCGCCAAAATAGATAATCTTAACCCGTTATCTTGGCTTGGACATTCCGAAAAGAGAAGGATTGACTATGGAACATGTCTCTTAAATGGCGAGCAACCTGTTCTGTCGTCGACACCTCGCGAGACACAACTTTTGTTACAGAAGTCGTCTATGGAGCAACAAACACAAGTCGCAGGACACTATAACAACGCGGAAGGTGGTTCCTTAAGGATCCCAAGCTAAGATCAAGCGGTGCATACTTTTCATAGCAAGTACAGGTTGGATCCAAAGAACATGAAGTAAGGACAGTGTCCTTAGGACACTCGGAAAGTTAACATGAAGGGAAAAACAACGCAGGATATGCCCAACGAGATAAAAAGACGTTGACTGAGTACCACCGCAAAAGCCAACACGAAGAGAAAAACAACACAGGACAAAGCCAACGAGATGAAAGGCGTTGTTCAAGTAACACCGCAAACGTAAACGTGTGGAAAAACACAAGTACAAATCCAACCACGTTGAACGTGCAAAGTGTTGAGTAACACACAAACACTTTGTCCACAAGACTGTTAACAAAAACAACGCTGTTGGAATTGGCAGACGCAAAAAACAACCGTAGTCGTACACCTCGCGCATTATCACACGTTTCAGCGGTACATGTGTTACGGCACGTACGTGGTACGGGTACACCCATGCCTATGCGAGTATGGCTCGAGATCTCCATTACGACGATTCAGGCATCTTTGCTACACTGATAACAATATGACATATTGTTAATGGCAGGCAGGGTTTCCCTACCAATATGGCAATATGTACAATATGCCATATTGAATATGCTAAACCTATCAAAACCTGTCCTGATACACTCGATTGTAAGAACTTGTGTCACTGTCCCATTTATGGTACAGCTGTCCGTAAGCTAAGCTGTGCTAGATATTCATATATTCTGTGATACTAAACGTAAACGAGTTATTCATCCTCGAGTCGAGTGTATCGTATTAACGGTTACATGATGACTTGTGCTATCTATGTAGGTCACTCCTCGACAGTTACGTGCCAACACGGATGATCCGTCACTCATCCGTCCCATCTGCGTGACTCAAAGAGGGTAGTTTACGCGTACACTTCGACACGCCGAAGCACAACGAATTGCTCATCTTAGTGGCTTACAATGAAACTCCTCGTATCATCATTTTGGTTCTTCTTGTGCGATCTTTTCTACGTTGAAGCAGAAGTGGGCGAAAATGGCCATTTCCGAGGGCTCGGTCCTGTGAACGGTGATCCTAACGACAGACTCTATTATAGGCAGAAGGATTATCTTGAGGCCATCTCTATACCGGAGGCTTGGAGTATCCTGGACTCTACTCCCAAGAGAACACCTGTGACCATCGCAGTTATAGACGACGGAATCGAGGCCGCTCACCCTGACTTGAAGGGTACCGTCATCAAGGGCTACAACGTCGTTGATAAGAATGATGATACCAGTCCTCGAGGACGGCATGGCACTTGCATGGCTGGCATCGTTGGTGCTATCAGAAATAACAAGATCGGCATGGCGGGTATCCTGGACAGTGTGCGTATACTGCCCATATTCGACGGTGAAGTTCTGAGCTACTCTGCAATCGAGGATGCTTTCACCTATCTGATCAATAAGAGGAGAGATGATGTGAAAGTTATTCTCATGACGGAGGTATCCGGATCAAGTAGGTCTCAAGCTGTTACCGACAAGATTTTGGAAGCGGCTTCAGCTGGCATGCTCGTTGTCGTCTCGGCAGGGAATGGCCACGTGGATCTGGACAAGACCCCATACTTTCCTTGTTCCTTCGGCCGTTCGCCCGCTGATGGAGTGCTATGTGTGGCTGGAACGTATGGTAGCGGCATGCAGCTTACGGACGAAAGCAATTTTGGTTCAGCTGTGGACATCGCCGCTCCAGGTTACGATATAGTCCAAACTAGCCTTGAAGGGGAGTACGGCTGGGGTTCGGGCACTTCGGCTGCCGCCGCCATCGTAGCAGGTATAGCTGGGATGCTCTACTCCCTTGAACCATCTGTGAAGATTAAGCTGACTCCTGCTTACATCAAAAAAATCATCAAGGATACGGCCACCAAAGGTGTCAAGGACAGTAAAGGAAAAAAGACTCTCTCATTCGGCCGCGTGAATGCTGCAGCGGCTGTCAAGAAGATACTTGGAAGAAAGAAGGTATAATTTTTCACTCTAATGATGGAGTCATTGATAACTTGTTTGGTGAACTCTCGTCTATATCGATGGTCTCTCCCTGGCTGGATGGATTATCAAAATCATTCGATTCATTTATTGTAGATGTGAAGGTCTGATGTCACATGCGATTGTAACGCTGGGGATTTGATAAAGATAATTCTTTACGCCCAACTGTTGAGTTTGGAATTTGCGTCGTGAATTTGCGCTGGGGTCGGTCGTACTTAAAACGGCAAGTATTGGCTCGGTGTTCCATTATGAATCGTTCTGGGAGACGCTGGTTCATCATCGTCGATCGACGTCCGAGTCCCCAGTAACAGACAACGTAAGTTACAAGTTTTTGCCCTGTTATTATAAGTTATAAGTTATAACCAGTTCGGTGTTATTTCGATCGACAAGACGCTAACAATTCCCTCATTCAACAATTCCCGCATTCCATCGTCGTATTCATGGATTGTATAAACAATCACTCACAACATTATAAAACATGTAGAATGTCCAAACAATTAATGATTAAGGGTGCCCGGATAGGGACTTCGACAAAATGGCATCTGACGGAGTCCCAGTAGGCATCAGCAAAGATATTCCTTTCTGTTTGCTCTATCCACGTTATGAGCCACGCAAGTACGACCCTTATCCCACCTTGGAGGAGCATCGCAACTATCATAGTTGCGAATAATAATCTATAATGGATTGATGGATCTTCCCGAAGTCTTCGACCCGGTAGAGGCGCTCATAGAGGATGAGATCCCGCGAGGGTTTATACGGGAGCTAAGCCCTGGGGAGGCCACCGAAGACGGGAGGGACTGCGTCCGACGAGCGGCCATTCCGAAAGGAGAGACCTCCGCAGATGGCGTGAGGATAATCGAGGACTATCGACGCAACAACGTCAAGAGAAAGGCCAACATACCCAATAGCACTCATTGGCCAAACATCAGGAGTTTACGAAGGAAACTGGGAGCAGACAAGTGGCCTTCTGAAGAATTCAAAGACCGGAAGGTTGATCTGCGAAGCGCGTATAGAGCGGTTGGAGTGCATCCAATCGAGCGGAAACATCTAAGCTTCGTACACACACAACTGAAAGCACCCGATTCTTCGAGGATATTTCTATTACTGGATTCTTCTACTGGAATTTCACCCGTGATATGAAGAACACTAGTGAAAAATATATTTCATGACTACTGCATATCGCGAATATCGCGTTTTTCACGGAGTATGACGCCACTTCACGAAGAACGGGCGAAACTCCACTGCTTTCACCATTTACTATGATCAGTAGGATAGTTCAGCAGTCCTGACTTGTTTTCAGACCTCGTTCTCGAACTGCGTAACGCAGTCTGCGTTCATCGGAAAGAGTTGATATATATCGCAACTTGATATTTTCAAGTCCAGTTCCCAGTTTCACAACTGTTAATGATTTACCTATTGGAATAACACTTCACTGGATATAAGCAGGGAATGTCGTAAACCGCAGCTTGATGATACTTAATCGATGTGAGAAATATTCACCATAAGCTCAGCTAAGGGATTCCTTCACTCAGTGAAGTTCACTGGGATTGGGACAGCGATCGATGATGATGCACCAGCATCTCCCAGAACGATTCATAATTGGAACACCGAGCCAATACTTGCCTACTGAAGTAAGACCGACCCAGCACAAATTCACGACGCGATTTCGAAACTCAACAGTTGGGCGTAAAGAATCATCTTTATCAAATCCTCAGAGTCATGATGATCAGGTCTGATGATCAGACCTTCACATTTACAATGGATGAATCGAATAAATTGATAATCTATCCAGCAAAAGAGAGACCATCGAGCTAGACGAGAGTTCACTGAACAAGTTATCAATGACTCGGTGTCATTGACTCCATCATCATGAGACGGAGTCAGGGCGAAAAATTAAACCTTCTTCCTTCCAAGTATCTTCTTGACAGCCGCCGCAGCATTTACGCGGCCGAAGGTAAGGGTCTCTACCCCTTTACTGTCCTTGAGACCTTGGGTGGCCGTATCCTTGATGATACTTTTGATGTAAGCAGGGGTCAGCTTGGTCTTCAGAGAAGGTTCAAGGCTGTAGAGCATCCCAGCTATACCTGCTACGATGGCGGCGGCAGCCGAAGTGCCCCGAACTTCGACGTACTCCTCTCCAAGAGTGGTAGAAACTATTTCGTTACCTGGAGCGGCGATGTCAACAGCTGAACCAAAATTGCTTGTGCTCAAAAGCTCCATTTCGGCACCGTGCGTTGCAGCCACACATAACACACCATCAGTGGGTGAGCGGTCAAAGGAACAAGGGAAGTATGGGTTTATGTCCAGATCCGCCCGGTCATTCCCTGCCGCGACGACAACGAGCATGCCAGCTGCAGCCGCTTCCAAAATCTTGTCGATTACGGCTTGGGAACTTGGTTCGGATACCTCCGTCATGAGAATAACGTTCACATCATCTCTCCTCTTATTGATCAAGTAGGTGAAAGCATCCACGAGTGCGGGAAAAGTCGGAGCTTTACCATCGAATATGGGCAGTATGCGCACACTGTCCAGAATACCCGCCAAACCAATCTTGTTATTTCTGATGGCACCAACAATGCCAGTCATAATGGTTCCATGCGGTCCTCGAGGACGGGTATCATAATTCTTATCAACGACGTTATAGCCCTTGATGACGGTATCCTCCAAGTCAGGGTGATTAGCGTCGATTCCCTCGTCAATAACTGCGATGGTCACAGGTCTTCTCTTGGCAATGGGATCCAGGATACTCCAAGCCTCTGGTATAGAGATGGCCTCAAGATAAGCCTTCTGCATGTGATAGTATTTGTCGTTAGGATCGCCGTTCACAGGACCGAGCCCACGGAAATGGCCATTTTCGCCCACTTCCGCTTCAACGTAGAAAAGGTTGCACGAGAAGAACCAGAATGATGTTACGAGGAGCTTCATTGTAAGCCACTGGGATGAGCAATTCGTTGTGTCGAAGTGTACGCATGAACTACCTCCTTTGGCTCACGCAGATTTGCTCGCGCACGTGGAAATTTTTTCGTGCGCGGCACGACATGTTTTCTACAACAGTTGGCCTTCCTCGTAACCGTTAGGAATGTAGCCCCACTTCTGGACCAAACCACGTCTGGACCAAGTACTTTCTTGAAGTTAAAACTACACTTTTTCGGACTGAATTTTTCTCACGACGATGTGACGGTGTCACCAATTGTGTCGATCGATGGGTTAAATTTTCACATTCTCGCATGCGTGCACGGGCCGACTTCGCCTGACTTGATCCGTTGTTCATCACGGTTCAATCTAATAGATAGTTGATATCACGTTTCTGTTATCTGGATTCGTAAAATTCGACTTCATTGCTGCTCTACATTGTCGCCTTTTTCGTGAAGTCCTATTTAACGTGTTCTTATATTCCTATACAGACTGGTCAAAGAAAGTTGTCCAGCGCCGATCTATATAGGTTATCGGTCGAATATGAGGATGGAACTGGTAGCGTCCGATCATAAGTTTGTAGCTCTTTTCAGCTCTTTTCTTTTCAGCTCTTTTTCTAAGCCTAGTACTTACTAGTACTTACTTACTAAGCCTAGTACTAGCGCTCAGCCGTCTTGGACGAGGTCGCGGTAGCATCCGCGATTTCGCTCACGGAGTATCCTTCAGCATCTAAAGTCTTGATGCTGACCCTTCGATTTTGCTCTCTTTTGGCGGAGGTCCAGCCGTCCTCAATTGAGCTCAGCAGCCTCCACGCCTTATTATCATAATATTATTATGGAGATTCACTTTAAGTGAATCACTTATGAAAATGAGTACAAGTCGTGAAAGACCAACTAGAATCCGTCAGACTTTCCTCAATGTCAGCAACCATGTAGTTGATCAGGTGCATAATGAGTTGGGCTCCACCCAGCAAGTCTTCGGAAAGCTGGTGAGTGCATGCTATGAGAACGTGTTAACGGGATGATGCTCTCTGTGTTCACGGGAAGACAGCTTATCTCTGACTCTCGAGTCAAGAGTCTTGGCTGAACACGTGACACGTGTTAATTATACACTGTATATAATGTATAGGCCATGCAGCTGTTACTGCTTCTACCCATTGTGCGCGATTGCACGTGTGTGCATAGCTAATTACCTATCCCCCCGAAATAGATTAAGACTAAGAAGATCTTTTCAACTCCTTCCGACTCGTGTTATCTACTATGAGTCTCGACCAAGCTACAAATGGTGCCCAGACACCTTCTGACCCTATTGAGGCTCCTCCTAACTCCTCTCAAGCTCTTGAAACTCTTGGAACTCCTCAAATATCTAAGCCTTCCTGACTTGGACTCCCTCTACTTCGTCACCGAAACTGATCTCTTGAACTACTCTCAACTACACCCTCTTGACCTACCTACCCGCGTCAACTTCCAACAAGCTCTTAGACACTTCCAACCTTCATCTACCACTACTACTACTTCAAGTTCTGATTCAAAGTCTACTACTACAACATCCACCACTACCACCAAATCTGTCCTTGTCGATGCTTCATCTCAAAACTCTCAAGCCCCTCACCCCCTAACAGCTACCAACCTCATGACCCTCAACGCTCCCGACAACAAAGCGTGGCTCGGTCGACAAGATCAACGCCCTATAGCTGCCTATATCCGCCGAATCGCCGACATTGCAGAGATGGCTAACCTAGATGCATGTGGACTCTGGAAGTACCTTAATCTCAAGGCTCTCTCTGAAGGCCAATCTCGTGATCTACATGCTCACCTACGACAGCACAACTTGA